CGGGTTTTCGCTGCGGCGCTGGGGGGTGGCGGAGCCCGGGCCCGGCCCCGCCGTTCCCCGCCCCGACACGTGGTGCCGCCGCCGGCCGCGCCGCCCCTACGGGCGCCGAGCAGGTGCGGGGCCGGGAGGGCATCTTCTTCCTCCCCTCCTCCTCCTCCTCCTCCTCCTCCGCAATGCCCGGGCACCTCTGTCGCCGGGCTGCCCCCGGGGGAGGCAGAGCCCCTGCCCGCGCTGCCTGGTCCTGGTCGCAAAAGGCTGCGAGGAGCGTGAAGGTCCTGAAAAAGACGGGCAGGCGGCGAGCGGCGCTGGACAGATTTCACGCTGGGGCACCGAAGCTAACAGAGGGCAGAGGCTGGCGGTGCAAATACGACGGGGCGAGAGCTGTAGAAATAGCAAAATGCGTCAGATGCTCTCTGCTCCTCGTTATTCACCGACGGCTTGTTGTGGAACACGTAGAGACCTGGAAACTCACTTGATTCTCAGACAGTACGTTGCACAGCATATTTAAGTACTGTGTTGTCTTTCTTACCTTTCATTGCCATAATTGTTGTTGGCCCTCCTGTTCATTAATGCACTTAGCGTTGGCCTTGTTCGTCTGCTCCCCAGAGTGGGTCTGTTTAAAAGACGTGCGCGCGTTAGCAGGACCGCGATCTGGCCTATATGCATATCCACGCAGGGGGTGAAAAGGACTTCTCTTCGACAAAAAGGATGACGAAATTCTCGATATGACGCTCATTTGAGGTTCCACGTAAATGTCTGCTTATAGGACTTAATGAGCTTGCAGAAACTGTCCTTTCAGCAACAGTATTTTTGGGCAAAGATTTCCTTCGCATGTATGCTTTCTACAAAGGGCCCCAATTCCCCTCGGGAACTTCTGTTTGCTATTAGAGCGTAAATATTAAATACTGTCTCAAAAATAATTAAGAGCAAATGTGTCTTTCATGTGCAGCGCAGAGAACATACCATCAGTAATAGGAAAGGTGATGCATTCATCTAGTCCTCGAAGAGGAAAGAGGACACTGGTGAGTACTGACACACTGATTGTTGCATATACAAAGAGGTATAATTACTAATTTATTAACCTGGCATCAGGATTAGATCCATTACTTATGTAGAGCTCCAAGCTATGCTCTGCCAAAAAGATGATACCATCGTCCCCTGGCAGTGTCAACACATCTATAATTCAGAGAAGTGAGGTAGTTACAGCTGAAAAAAATGCTTAAAATTCCTGTATTAAAAATTCTGTGTGCTTATAAGATATCCCCTAAGCACTGGAATATACGTTCCTGAGGCACAAAAGAGCAGGAAGAATTCTGGACCTTTCCCTGCTGCTCCAAGACTGTTTCCATGGAAAAGGGAAAATTGCAAATCACATATCTTAATCACACAAATTTGCTCTTCCCTTCAGTAGAGACCAAGGCACCTGAGACCACAGGCTTCTCCTGCAAGCCACATGTGGCACATGTGCGGTGGAAAATTTCCACGTACATTCACAAAGCTGGTGTATCGGGAGCAAGAGTAAGAAGAAGCTGTGCAGCAGCACTCTCATTGCCATAGTAACTCAGCTCGAGAGTTGGTGATGATGATCCAATTGTCAGGGCCTGCTTTATCTTTTTCTATTTCAAGCTCAAATTTTTGCCTTGCTAAGGAACGAGATATGAAAAGTGAAGTCTTCAGGCTGCCTCAGGATTCATAATGGGATGTGATTCTCTTTGATCTCCTCTCCTCTTTGCATAGAGATTTATAGCCTTATCATAAATCATAAAACAATCATTAACTTTCAAGCATTTTTTTTCCCTTACAGTCAATGTATATCTAATAAATATTGAGGAATAAAGTCATTTTCCAGCTTATTAAAATATTTTTACTGTGCACTAGTTAATCATCAGCACCGGGAGGAGCACATATGTGACATGATCATGTGATATCACTCTTACTCTCCTCTTGATGTCTTTTACAAACCAGCAGTATTGCGGTATTGCCTATAAAACTGGTTTTCATAACCAATATGTAACTCTGCCCAAACCTGTATTTGCTGTGGAAAGGAAAAAATGTTACACATTCATAAGGGCCTCAGAAAACCTACAGAACACAGTATCTTCTTAGGCTTTTTCTTGCTCTACTCCCTCCTGAAAAATAACAGCTCTCCAGGAAGCCGCAGAGGGCTGCAGATTCAGCAGAAGCGCTTGGACTCCAGGAGCTGCCAGGGAAAGCTGGGCGCTGAGCCAGGCCCTTGGGTTAGACCTTATGCTTTCCTGAAAGGGGAGCAAGGTACACGAAGCAGTTGTTATTCCAGGCTTTGCTACTGAGATGGAGTGCTCTTGCAGAGAAAGTTGCAAGGGAGAGAGGACGGGGTGAATTACAGCAGATCATAGAGTACGTTTTGCTGTCACCTCTGCTTCTGTTCTGCTGCTGCCTCTGAACCTTCTCTGCGGGAGGGGGAATACGGTTCTAATTCAGCAGTTTTGCTAGCCAGCAGTTAGCTGTGTCCTTTAGCACAGACACAAGGAACTCCGTGCATTGGTACTTCCACATCTGAACTGCTAAGAGAAAAGCTTCGCCTGATGTTTTTGCAAAGCTTTCTGTGAAATTTGTTTTTGTAAGTTTATTTGTTCTCTCTGATGGTACATTTTTTCTAGACATCTGCAAATGCTGTTCTCCAGTTTGCATTCTTGCAGTGTAGTATTTTTGCTCATGAGCTGTCAAAATAACAGCAGTAGAGCAGTCCAGTAAAGGTCTCAGCATCCTAATTAAGTACCCAAATACCTCAGTTCAGAATCGGGCACTTCCGAAGAACAAGCAAAAAAACATACCGTACCCAGGAGAGAATCACTTGGAGCTCAGCAGTACATCTCAGGGTGCCTTTGCACCCTTCGGCACAAGAGGTTTATTCATGCTGCCAGCAGAAACCAAGTCTCAATTGAGTCCTTCTCCGTGGTACAGCCTTGTATGCTGCCTTTCTGATCCCATGAATTTTCCTTCTTTTCTGTGCAGTAGTTCAGCTTCAGCAAGAAGACTTCCGCTTCTAACTCACTTTAGTTTTGACCAGGCCCTCAGAGGGTGGAAGAAAGCAGGACTCCTAGGAAGTCAGAGGCTGTAGTCTCCCCAGGTGGCAAAAGGAATGGAACCTGTACTTTTTATTTTCTTCTTTTTGGGTGTAATAATTAAAAGGCTGAACAATGATTCCTGCCTTACGTGAATTCTCACTAAACAGTCACCTTGTGCACCTTTGCTATTTTTGTGCTGTCATCATTTGGTAGTGTTGTGTATACTTGCAAAATTTGACTTTGTGGGGAAGTGGCACACTTCTGGACTCAGTTTATTGCCTGGAGGATGCTGGTCTAAAACCAGGCTGGCTCATTGCTCAGACCAGGACAGTTTCAAGTTTTTATAACACTGAAAGCACTTGTGGACATTTGGGATGAAAACCAAAGAGGCATTTTTTGACCTTATGTTGATTAGGGTCAGGTGGCTTTCTTGCAGTTATTCTGAACAGGAGAGTTTTGGTGCCTAAATCTGTCTCAATTCAGTCTCAGGTAGCTGCATTTTTCTTTTAGGTTTGGCACTGGGCTTTCATAGGTTGTCAACAAAATGCAGACAATACCTTATACTGCGTCAGGACCATAGATCAGGTTTTGGTTTTGAATCACATCTCCCTCTGAGGTCAAAGGAGATGCTGAATGGGGCAGAGGGCAGAGCTCGGTGCTGCAATCTCAATACTACACAATTTCCTTAACACAGGCAGACAGCTGATAATGCTTCTGTCCGTGACCTAAAGAGCATCTGTACTTTGCCAGCTGAGGCCTATGATGCTCTGACATTTTTTTCTCACCCAAAACGTGAGAATGATGTTGAAATTAGGTTTTCAGAGTTTGGAAATGGGCAAATGTTGGGAAGATTGTGAAAGAACATGAAGCTGGGGATAAGGAAGGAAACACTAGAGACTGTAAATATTAAAAATAATTGACTTGGAGATCTTTAAACATCTCCTTTCTAACCAAGTGTTTAATATGTAGGTTAGCAAGGAGAGTGAAAAGCATTGTCAAGTATACAAGGTTGTTCATTTGCAGTCATGACTATCAGTATATTAGTAGGGATAGGACAGATAGAAATGGTGGAGAAATTAGAACTCAGAGAATTAGAAGATTACAAACAAATCTACATTTAAAATGTCAGACTCAAAATGCTTTTGCATAAAGATTATAGATGAAAAATCAGTATAAAACACAATCAGATAAATGCAAAAATAAAGAGAAAAATAAATGTTCATTGAATATCATATATATGGATTTAATACTTATGAAGGCTACTTGTACGTTTCTTATTTTTGATGGGTGGTGGAAAATGGACATTTTTTTCTGCTCTAGAAACCAGATGTGCAATAGAATTAAAATCCAAGTGCAAAGTCCTGCACCTGGATCGGGACAATCCCCAGTATCAATACAGACTGGGAGATGAATGGGTTGAGAGCAGCCCTGCGGAGAAAGACTTGGGACTACTGGTGGATAAAAAAACTCTACCTGAGCCAACAACATGCATTTGCAGCCCAGAAAGCCAACTGTACTCTGGGCTGTATCAAAGAAGCGTGACCAGCAGGTCGAGGGAGGTGATTCTGCCCCTCTGCTCCGCTCTGGTGAGACCCCACCTGCAGTACTGTGTCCAGCTCTGGGGTCCTCAGCACAGGAAAGACATGGACCTGTTGGAGCAGGTCCAGAGGAGGGCCGCAAAAATGATCAGAGGGATGGAACACCTCTCCTATCAGGAAAGTTCAAATGAGTTCCAATTCCCTAAGCAGAATAACACCCTCTAGTTTGCTTTGTTGATCCTGTTTTTCTGGTCAGATGGGTTATATAACATATCAGCAGATCTCACTCAGACATTTCACAAATGCTAAAAAGAACACCAGCTACCCATTTTCATAGCAATAGTTTACATTAGAGGTCTTCAGAGAATTACCTGAAAAATCTTTAAGAAATACTGGAAAATGAGAGAAAGGTGAGAAGACTATGAATATCATTATAATATATAGAAAAGAGCAAAAGGGAAGCATTGCTTCATGTAAGTCTTGGGCAAAATAAGAGAATAATTAATTTGGGACTCTGGCAACACAAATAAGAGATTAAAAATATAAGTAATAGCTATCAGGATGTCTTTATACGAAGTATATCTTGTAAAAAAGACTCATTAGAGCGAGTAGTAACATTTAAAAAAATACAGCCAAATTCAAAGAAAAACATCTGGGACAAATAATAAAGCTCTGCCAACAGGATGGGAAACTGTTTTGGAAAGCAATGATGAGAAAAATACTTTGGACCCATAGTAGTGAATGTCTCAATGTGAATTCTTAGACCACGTCTGTGGTTAAGAGAACTAATGCCGAAGAAGTGGAATATTTAGCTGAAATAGTGGAGTGATCTTGCTTGTGTACACGGTGTAAGATGTCTGCTGGAACAGTGCGTTCAGTTCTAGTGGGGAAGAGTTCAAGGGAGATGTTATTTTCTGCAAGACTTTTATTTAATCTGATTTCTGATAAGAATTGTGTGATCTGTTTGTATTAGACAGATGTCTGTCAGTACTACTCAGTGAAATGCAAGCCAAAAAGCAACCTAAAGCACCGCAGACCCTCAGATGTTTGTGTAGCAGCCTATATATGTAGAAAGGACTTG